ACTCAATTTCAAATATCAGATTCCCGGAATTAAATGATTCAAAACATTCAAATTTGATAGCGAATTCTACTTCAAGTTAGAGATAATTCTTAAGTATTCTACACAGCATTTTATGCACTCCTAATTTGTAGTACCTTCCTTAAGCCTGAGCATTGTTTCAAACTCGAGTACATTTAATTTGAATCTTTCCTAAATTTCCTGCATTTTAAGGGGGCCGACCACGGTTTTATTGTGCGAAAACTACAATAGCAAAACTCTTCATTTTTTATACATATATAACATACAATAATTTAAATGTATATGCAAAGTTTGGGGAAAATCTATCGTCCAGGTATTTTTGAGGGACCGTCTCAAAATACAGGTACATTTACTATAGGATTATATAGGAAAATGCCAATTTCCAGCACTTTAAAGCAAATTATACAAATACTACAATAGACTTTTTGTTCAAACTATAATATTTGATGAGTTATACTATATTATACAATATATATAAGAGACACAAAATTCTACCGTCTTGTTAGTAGAGGTGGTATCTCTCAAAATGCCAAAAATAAACGAATTTTATTGTTGTTTATAAAATGGTACAAAAAATGACGGACATAAAGGATTCATATGAAAACGTAACAAAAATAATGGAAGTATTCTCACATTTGTATGTTTTAAATTCTAAGAGCATATGTTCATTACTTTTTCTTTAATAACATTTTTATTCCCCTTTCCTTTAAAAGCTCCAGTTCATCATAACGTCTAAAACACACCGTAACGACATCTACCTACCTATCAATTGCAAAATCAGTTATATAAAATTGCAACTACATTTCCATACCTATAATGTCTTGATTTTGTTTAATTTTTATAATTTAGCGACAAAATCTGCTTTAAAACAGAGAATACGCTTCATTTTACTATGATGCGCGAAATATAGCGCAATGGAAACTATAGTCGGCCCCCTTAACATCTTTATAAAACATCCTCATCTTCCCTTCTCAATGTCATCCTTTGAATTACATTTCTGTTTTTGGACACTTCTTTACAGTAAAAGTCTTCAGTCTCTGGCAGATATCCGACAAGGTGTCATCAAATTCTGTCTGAGGTGTAGATGCTCAATCCATATGGGCAGTTACACAGTCACATCTCCTGCTGCGGCCTCTTCTCCCCACTTTCCTTTTGCTGGTTTAGAGATTATTGAACAATATGTTTCATTGATACTCTAATGAGAGAGAAAACTCTTAATGGCATAATTTTCTATTATTCCTTTATAAATTTGTCGGATTGTCTTTTTGTCCATTTTAACCCCGCAAGCTATGCTATAATTGTTTGTATTTTACTTATAAAATGCAGTTCTTATGGAAAATCATTAATATTCATGCACCATTTTATATGAAAGAGCTTTTATGAACCTTAATCGAAATATAAAAACCCCATATCCAATATAAATTAGCTTTTTTCAAAAGATATTCAACTGGTTCGACTTTAGATTCCTTCCCTTTATGTTTGATAATGAATTTACCGTGTTTTCAATGTCGCAGGGTGGAACATGTACTTCTGATTCAAGATTATCATTGTATGCTTCATTTAACACATCCTTTGTTGGCACTCTAGTTTTTCAAACCTAGTTCTACCCTTCAGGTCTTCTCCAGAGGCCTTTAAAGTGCTGGAATCACTCATCTTTTGCTGAAACAAAGTTAACCATAGTAATAGCTAGTAACAAAGCCAATTTAGCAGAAACATAAACAAAGATTATTTAAAATCTCTTGATTCTACATTCATTCTACAAACCAAATAATAATTGTGTTATAGTTTCAAAAAGAACAAATGCTACAAAATGTTCCTATTTTGCTCTTCAAAATACGAGGGGCATTTCAAAAGTCCTGAGAACTGTGTAATAAAAAATTAATTATTGAAAACCCTTTGAATCACTTACAAAAGTCATCAAGAAATAAATATACACATCCATTAATATTTGAGTTAATTTTGTCAGTAACGCTGCGTAAATGATGTCATGACGTAAATGTTTATTATATAAAAGCCTTCATATGTGTGACAATTTTAAAATTGGAAAGGATTATATTGAAAAAAAAAATTAAAGAAAATTTTTATTTGCAAAGAAATACGTGTATGCTATGGTACCATTTTGTACCATGTATCTTGTTAAAAACAATATTCTTATATGGTTTGTTTATAAAGCATATAATGCCCGGTTAAAAATGTTCAACCATTTAAGATTTCAGTTTGTTAAAGAATACGACTGACTTGTCGCATGCGTTTATAAAGCTAAACATTATGACAAATAAAACATTTTCTGTATAAAAAAAGGTATATTAATGCGGTTTTCAACAAATGTATTTTGAGTAAAAGCATTTTGAAAAATTTTGAAAATGAAATGTACTAAAGGATTTCCCCTGACTTGTTTCTTTGTGTAATATTAATTCAAAATGTTCCAAGAAAATTACAGTCGGTTTTTGACTTTTGATCAAAAAAGTTTATACAGTTACATGCAGACATGTAAAAAAAAAATCTTATCAAATTTTCATGAATTAAAATGCGAACATATGAGGCTTGTTTTGGGGTTACATCTGCAGTGTGAAAAACCATTTTGACTTTCCTTTTAAGAAAGAGTATTTTGAACTCTAATGAGAGTTAGTTAAAACTTGACGAATTGATGCCATCAAAAATTTTTATTTTTCTTCCATCTTAACTTTGCCTATTTCTCTATAATTGATATATGTATGTTTTACTTATAAAATAGTTTTGAGTGAGAGAGATTAAAAAAATGCGATGTTTGGAAAGAGCTTTTAAACCATTTTGAAATATAAAAACATATGCAATATAAAAGAAGCACTCAAATGATTAATGTTGATATGATTCAAATAATGTTGTTTTTAAAATTTTAATTTGATACAAACTATGTACTTCAGGTTTTTATGGCCAGTATGTGAGCATCCGCATTATTTGTAAACATTTTCGGAGTTATTACGTCATAAAAATTTAAAGAAACACAATATGTGTGATTTCAGGATGTCACTAATAATTTGCATGAAACGTTAAGTTTTTTATTCAACAATTCTCACAAATGTTGAAAATTTCTTTAGCTTCAAAGGATAGAAATTTGGTTCAAGGTCAAAAATGTAGCTGCAGTTGAAAAGCCTTTATCAGTTTGTATTAGCATATAAATCTTGTTAACACAATCTTCAATGGTTTCGTAAAAACCGAGCTAAACACTCATTTAATAAAGCGAGGTCAATGTTAAAGGAAAGTGAATGTAACAAAATGTTTATGTTGATGCAGTTAAATAGCATTTATCAATATCTATCAGTTTGAAAAAGCATATCTTGAATAGTTACTTTAAAACAGGGCTTTGATCTGAGCTAAACGCAAAGAGTGACAAAAAGAAGGACAGCAAGACGGACAGATAGACATGAAAAACACTATGTGACCCGACCATATTCTTTGTTGGGCACAAAAAAACAATCAGGATGTCCAGAAATGAACACATGCATACGTTGGATTTTTCAAAAAAATGTACCAATCACTTCAGGGATAGTCCACAATCTGTATGCCCTCTTTCTTATCGAATAATTACATGTAGATTAATAAATGTTTGGAGAAAAGTTAACAGTCCCAAAGTTTGATAAAAAGTATTACATGTAGATACAATATGCAGAAATGTAAAAAAAAATACCATTAATTAGTGAAGATATTTCTACTAATTAGTTAAAATCAGTATGAAATCATATCATGATAGCTTGGTTTAAGAATTAAATGTTCATGCAGTGTGAAAAAACAATAGCTAACCTGATGTAAGAAATTATTTAATGGGTATCCACAGTTGTTTGACTAAAACCACATCTTATTGGAAAAAAAATCTTTCAAAGTGAAATTGACATCCCGTGTATACAAAAAAGGCTGAAAAGTATTTATCATTGAGTACCGTATGAAAGATCAATTTCTATCCATTTGATATTTATTTTTATCTCATGTTTAACCCTTTATCCCGTTGATATAGCTCATGTGATATCGTTTTCGTATCACACAGTTGTGACGTCACAATGGGTTTTGCGTTGAGAGATTAAGTAAAATAAAGTTGAGTCCTATACAAAAAGAGTGTTAACCATTATTTGTGGTGTAAAAACAATGGATAAAAAGAATCTCAAATGATTTGTAGTTAGATTTGATTTTTATCCAACTCGTTGAGTGTTAATCCCATCGCAAAGGCTACAAATCATGTGAGATCCTATATATGAACATCAAATTTGTTTGTGATATTGATCTTATCCAAAATGATCTTTTACGGTAATCAACTCGATGTGGTCCCCAGTTAAAAAGTAATATCTGTGTGATCTTCCTATGTATTTTTGTCGTTTTAAATTTACTTAAGGAATGTATTTAAGTTTTGTGTGACTTGTCACGTACATGTAGGCATATTTCATGAAGCGCGCCAGTGCTTCATGAAAAATGTGTCTACGTCCATGTCTGCGAGATTCACAAACCAATAATTATCACAAATCTTAAAAATATTCCTTATATTAACATGTTTGGAAGCACCAAAAACATACCCAATGTTTGAATTTTTCGCTTTCCTATATCGTTATACTTTACTAACGTCGCTGTGGCCTTATTGTGAGTCACATTAACGCACGCTTCTCCGTGTATATTTCTACGTGCGAGTATACACGAAAATAGCTTTCAAATCAATTTCACATTTAGCTTTGTAGAAATACATAGCAAATGTAAATATATAGATATGAATGTGCAGAAAAGCAGACAGATGCATAAGCTGATGGTATAAAAACATTAATTTTTTGAGTTGGCTGTAATGACATGTTATAATTACCTTTTTTCAAAAAACTCAGTGTCTTCTGCAGTTATCACATGTTTCATCTGAAGTTGACACTTACACTTCGTTTCTTAAACTTCAGCTTTGGTTTTGGACAGTTCGCTTTCAAGATTCAGAGATGGATCATTCCGACAACATATGATATTTTGACATTTGAATCATTTTCGAAAAATGTTTGTGTCAAAAAATGTGTCTGTCAAATTCTCTATGGTATTTCAAACATATAATGGTTTGTTTCCCAACATTTGTTATTGAATTTCATCATTGCATAAGAAGAGTGTGTTCTTTTTGGTCAAACAGTTTAGAAATCCCAGCATAAGCAATGGAATGTGTGCTTTCAGTCATTTGGAGGAATTAAAGGCATCACATTCAGAAAAGAAAGAAGGATTTTTTTTCGGAACATATGTACAATGCTACAAACCCTCGAAATCAAAATTATTGTCAAATGCTTTATTAACCATGCTATTTTTGATTTCAGTTAAGAGGGCTAAATATCAACTTCCTGTAATGGAATGAAAATCATTCAACCATTGAATGACTGATTTTGCCAAATCGAAGATGTCCTAAATTTTAAGGACAAAGTTATAGTAAGTATATACTCTACTGTACCCGAAGCTCCCATCCCTAAAGATAGGTTGCTACGTTTCTTTTGCGTTCCAGCATATAAAACTATTTGATGTTTGGTATTTTGACAATACCATATCCAAATAATAAAATAAATGTGAATTGAACTTGAGTTCAATATTGTTTTTGATTATGTATAAAAGTGTATATTCAAGTGCTCTATAAGATGGCCGATTAGTAATACTCTTATTTTGCAGCATGTTTGCTCTCGTCTCAATACCGCTGCTTTTACTTCCTGCACTTCTGACACGACGTCTTGCACATTTGACATAGTTGTCTTCACCATTTCATACTGACTTTCCATTTCAACATTTTCTATAATAGCATCTTCATCTTTCTCTTTTAAACCCAGATTTTGAATGCAATGAAAGTCATCCAGGCATTTCTTTCCAGGAAAGTTTTCCAGTCTTTGGCAGATATCCAACATCATCAACCATGTGTCATCGAATTCTGTCTGAGGGGTGGAGGCTGAGCTCACGTGTGCAGTCAGAGAGTTTCAGATTATCCTTATTCGTTTGACATCATCCCCCAACCTTATCTCTTCTGCTGCAGGCATATTTTTTCCTCCCAATTTTCCTTTTGTTGGATTAGGGATCTTTGAAAATATGTTTCTGATCAACATATAGATCAATGAAATATCAAAATTCTTATATCCAGAGCTTGCAGCTGTTTTCAAGAGATCTTCCTGATCTGAGCGTAAAGTTTTATAAATTGATGATGTCTTCACTTTGTTATCAAGAAGGGAAGGTGTATTTCCCATTCAAGCATATGTCGGTATGCCTGATTTAACATGCCGTTTTTGCTACCATTCCAGGCTTTGAAAATCCTGCTCAATCTGCCAGTTTTGGAATAATTATCCAGCCCTTTTAGAGACAATGATAATGAACATGTTTAAAAGACCTCGAAATTGTATTGAATGTTGAGTCCTCAAAACACAAAAATGAATTAAAGTCTTTCTAACAGGGTCTCAAAATTAAATTCCAACAACCCAATGTCTTGTATTTTTACAAAAATCAGTAAATGTAAATAAAATTTAAAAAAAAAAAAACATATAAATCATTTTTGTTTGATTGTGATTTCAATATAGTTTAAGTTATAAATGTATTCCCAACAGCGTTCTACGTGTAGTATTCTTAATCTTAATTTGAAGCATCTTTTGTTTCAGGCTTTACCATATTCTTTTTAATTTCTTGTACATCGGACATTACTGCCTTCATCATTTCATACTGACTTTCCATTTTAACTTTTTCTATAATAGCATCTTCATCTTCTTCCTTTAAAGTCAGTTTTTGAATGCTATTAAGATCGTCCAGGTATTTCTTTCCAGTGAAGGTTTCCAGTCTCTGGCAGATATCCGACATCGTTGACCAGGTGGCATCAAATTCTGTCTGAGGCGTGGAGGCTGAGCTTACGTGTGCAGTCAAAGAGTTTCGGATTATTCTGATTCGCTCCACATCATCACCAACCCTTATCTCTCCTGCTGCAGGCATACTGTTTCCTCCCCATTTTCCTTTTGTTGGCTTAGGGATCTTTGAACAAACATTTCTGATCAACATATAGATCAATGAAATATCAAAATTCTTATATCCAGAGCTTGCAGCTGTTTTCAAGAGATCTTCCTGATCTGAGCGTAAAGTTTTATAAATTGATGATGTCTTCACTTTGTTATAAACAAGAGAAGGGTGCATTTCCCACTCAAGCACATCTCTGTAAGCCTGATTCAACACATCGTTTGTTGCCATTCCAAGCTTTGCAAATCTAGATCGGTCTGTCAATATTTGCCGATTGCTAGTATTGTTTACTTCTTTCTGAAACAATATGAACCTGAATTAAATCTAGCAAATATGAAGTTGAATTAAATCAAGCAAAATAAAAGTTAATGTATACACTCTACTTTGAGAAAAAGCGTAAAAAAAGTTTTTATTACCTTTTTAATATGAAACAATTTAATCGGTTTTACAGCAATGTTAAATTGATAACGTGATCAAGCTTAAAAGAATAAAAAAAAAACTATTCTGCTAAGGGCCTGGCATGAATATACAAATTAAAAGACAAAAAGGGTAATCCCATATACTCTAATAAACTGGGTTTTTTGTGGAGTGAGGGATATAATGGAAGGAAAATAATTACCTTTTCCCAGAAACCAAGAGTTCTTTGTACATTTATCACATGCTTCTCCTGAAGTCGACACTTGCATTGTGTTTCTTCAGCCTTAATTTTGGAGAGCTCACTTGCAAGGGTGAAAGATAGATCTTTCTCATTACAAATACTGTTTTGACATTTAAATCCTCTATGGAACTTTTTTTCCCCAAGAAATGTTTCCGTCAATATTTCTAAGGCCTGTTCAATGGAGTCTCCAATTTCATTTGATACGTCTTTGTCTACAGCTAATCGGCTGATTCGTAATACTTGTAACTGAATATCATCGTTACATATGCCAACAACAACAGTGTGTTCTTTGTGATCAAACACTGCCGCTGTTTGATAGAGACATAAACTTCCATCATGATCTTCATCTATTGAAACATTCCATCTCAGAAAACCCATGCAATATGCTACTAGTCTGTAGAACACAAAAATGGCAAAAGATGTGAATCGATAGCACAAAATGGAGGAGCATTCCCATTTATCTTCATGGAAGTCAGCTTTAAACTGCTTTTTGTTCATACAGGGGACATACCATGACATGTCACCTTTTGATACAGCCACAGAGGATTCCAAAGGTACCAGCATTTGAAGCTTCTCCATGTAAGACATAATTTCACTTTTATGTGTCAAATATAAAGGTTCATCTCTCCATAGTGCATTTACCACTTTATCTTTAAGTTCCCCTGTTTTGTTGAAGGATTCCCATTCTTTGATTAATGTTGTTTTGCAGTCTTTATTGATATGGTTTTTATCAGCAATGATCTTACTGAAAGCTTTAGCAAACCACTGAATGTCCAGTACTGCATGTTCCCTCAATTTCTCATCTTGAAAATACAAAAGAATGCCATTGTCATGGAAACACGTTAAAAACCTAGACATTTCTTCATCACTTTTAATTTTATATTCATCAGGAAGGGATGAGTTGAGCTTCCAAATTTCCGCAACGGACAAAACCTTCCAGTCTCCTTCATATAATAACTGTTCCATAAGAGCCCATGAAGAAGGAATTTCAATTTTTGTATTGAGCTCATTTGTAAATAGTTCGACTATCGATTTTTTCACTAATTCCAGTTTTTTCTTCGTATTGTCATTTAGTTCAACTAGACCCACAGCATAATCACGATCATTCAGAGACTTGCTTAGCCAATTTCTGTCCTCATCTGGTACTGTTTTCCAGAAGTCTTCAAAGTACTTCTTTATTTCCTTCAGAAGTAAACAAAATAGTCAAACAATACTATACACTTAAGTGACATACATGTATTTTGTATCAGGCTTAATGCTGCCTATGGCCAGCTAGCTTACCTATAGCTCATTAACTATCGAGTTTCTAACTACACATATTCTTCAGAAACGAGCTTACCCCCATCCCAACTTTTTTTTGCAAATATGGACATAATAAAGGCATCGAGTATTTGGGCCTAAGTTTAGCTCCCCCTTTCAACATGCAGAGGTTGCAGTGTATTCAAAGAAGGGTAAGGTGGTAGCTAAAGGGTTTTAAAATAAGAGACTTATGGGCCCTGCATCGCTCTTCTAATAAATTGTGCAATTTATCACTTCTATTTGAAGTCTTTAATTATCATGTACATATAAACTAAAACCTTGAAACTGCAAACGTTGGTCATCATGACCTACATATAGGTTAAAACACTCTGAGAGTCCAGGATAGTCAACTGACAAAGTGTGATGATTCTTAACCTCATATTAGCTGAAATATAAAGATATAATACCCCTATGATTTTAAACGCAGATCACAGTGACCTACCTTGTGGTAAAGTCTGAGTCCCCAAAATGTCTCAAATAACAGCAAATCTCAAGACTTATTATCTAAAATATTCAAACAATACCTAGAAAACTCCAAATGTAGGTCACTATGACTATCTTTTTTCCTTAGCTAAAAAGTACCTGAAATATCTTAAAATTTCCAAAAAAATTCAAAGGCAGGTCACTGTGACCTTTCCTTCAGTTTACCATGTCTGAAGAGCCAAGATACATCAACTGACAAAGCTTGATGTTAAGTACCTTTAATTACGCAGCACTGTTAAGGCTTGAATAAGGGGGTTGGGCCTAATTTATACGGGAAAAGTTTACTGTGACGTCACACAAAAATATGACTTTTATGTATTTCTCATAATACCTGAAAATGAAATAATTTGCAATTTTTAATTGTATTAGCATTATAAACAACAATATACCTTATCAATGCATTAAAAAAATTGCTAGTTAAATCCAATGTAGCTGGTACAAAACAAATCACTCGAGTTGTAAACATTTTTGGTTACTTTCATGTGCTGTGAGAGAGGAATTTTTTAACAATTAATATAAAGGAATATTATTTTTTTTAAAAGTCTTTTACCAAGTATAGCCTTTGTTTAGTGCGATTATTAATTACTACCAAGAGAATGTATTTTATTAATTATGTCGTGTTTTTATGTACATATATATGGAAATATATATATTTTTAAATTAAACAAATATACAAAATAAGAGCAGAGCAAACATGGACCTCCGAAAATCAGAGGTGGGATCAGGTGCCATGGAGGAGTGAGCATCTGCCTACCGGTCACATACATACGTAATTTTACAAGAGATTTCATGAGAATCGTACTTTCGCAAAATATGCATAGATCTTAACATTTTTTGATAGATAAAGGAATTGGAAAAGCGCTGCTGCTTTTTTATCGAGGCCATGATTTTATATGTACACAAAATTTTGGTAGTCAAAATTATTGAACATGCTATTCACAATAAAATTCTAACTTTCGAATTCTATTCAAAGCAGCAGCACTTTTCAGAAACTACAAAGTATACAGAAACATTTAATAGCTTGAATTTTTAATTTTAATTAGGGTATGCCCTTGTGATATTGAAATTTGTTAATGACCTACTTTCAGTACAAGTACTATTCATTCATCACGTGACTGTCCATCGATGGGACTAAACTTCATACAGTACATAGTGGGTTATACAATGCTATTTCCATAAGTATTAAAGTTCTGTGATAATAAAACAGCTTAATTAAAATAAATTCAATTTTAAAATAAAGTGCCTCGCCACAGCATGATACGCCCTTCAAAAAATTACAATTTTCTTGAACAGTTTAGGTGCAAAAAATCACATCAACCTTGATTCTAAGATTTCGATGATTTTTCCATTCCTTAAAATATTTATCCATTCCCTGTGATGTAGGCATCTATTATAATAAATATTACATCACTAATAGATTTCTGTGCTGGTTGTGTTAGACCTTGTCAAATGCCCATCATCAAATTAGTCTTAACAAAATCTATACCAAATTAATTTTGAAAAAAAGGCTGGCCATCAAATGACAAATGTTATAAACTGACCAGCAGTTCTTCTGTCTAATCCCCAAAGGGCTGCTTAATCAGAGCTACTGAAACAGCTGGCCTTTCTACATTGAACTCATTAATTAATCTTTAACTGGATTCTTATCTACTCATTACTACCAAGAGATGAATGGGTCTGCACTATCTACTATATTTTTTATAAAAAAAAACATATAAAATACTCTCAGATTTTTTTTTTTGGTGAGATTTAATGTAAATTTAGTATGTAAATATGGACATGCTGAATTAACCTTCAATAAAATTAGTTTTTAAATTAATAATATAACAAAATATCAGATTAGTCTATTATGCAATATTGAATTAATTTTAATTACTTTTCATCAAATTCATTTCAAACCTTTAGCTTATCAACAAGAGCTATTTTTAATCAAACAGGCTTATCCATTTGCCCAATTCTCAAGGGATATAGATAACGCCAATGCTCTGTCAGTTAACTGCTGCACTCAAAACCCATTAATTTCTCTCTATTTGATATGCAATTTTCTGTTATCAAAATTCTTCTTGACCAGTGCCTGATAATTACACTCATGGGAGACATGGGATTTCTCTAACATACATTATATTTGTTTTAGATTGCTGTCAAGTATATGCTTAAAAAATATGTATTTTCTTAATATAACACTTTTTTAATAAGAACAGTGAAATACTTTTACATTATTTGTGATGTGTAAATGAATAGTAAAAAGACACATTTTTTTGTTAAAAATTCACTTAAATTAAAGGTCACAGTGACCTTGAAATAGGTCGCGACACACCCTCTACCTAAGATGCATAATCTGGCCAAGTTTGATGATTGTAGGTCTTATGGTTTTCTAGTTATGGGCCGGAAAGGATTTTTCCATATTTGGCTATAACTTCTTAATTAAAGGTCAGAGTGACCTACTTTTTGTGCGCGACACACCTTCTACCCAAGATGCATCAGATGACAAAGTTTGATAATCCTAGGACTAGTAGTATTAAAGTTATGAGCCGGAAACGAAAAAGCTAAATGACAGACGGAAGATTACGAAGCCTATAACATAATACGTCCCGTCTTAAGGGGCGCATATCCCCTTTATTCAACGTCTATTTACCATTGATTTCTCATTGTAGGCCTTAACAGTGCTGCGTATTACGGAATATAATATAGAAGCACCCTAGGCCTCAGGCACTCATGTGTGAAAGGGGTTCTGAATGACATGATAGCTCCTACCCTTTAAAAATTCGAGGGAATAGGGTAAAATTTTGCCCGGTCCTGAAAGGTACGTAGCTTCCTAAGTACGTCTCGGGCGTGCGGGCGGACGGGAATTTCGTACACTATTTATTTATTTTAAATTTGCAGGCTCTCGGCTGTTTTATTTACTTGCAGCAGAGAGGAGTTTAAACAATTAAATAGCAAGGATTTTTTTTCAATCTTTTAATGAGTTGACATAATTATAGCTAATTAATATTTTCAAGGATTGTATATTTACACAAATGTAGTTTAGAATATATATCTAATTATATATATATTTTTAAATTAAACTGATAAATAAGGAAGTCAGGAAAATTTTATATCTCTTAATATAAACTACAGGTTTTTGAGAGATAAAATATCTACATGAAGGGAATTGTAGGCTTATTTTATTATTTAATGTGAAATAATGTACTCAAAATTATTGAACATGCTGGTCAACAATTACCCTAATTTCAATCTATGAATTGCGAAAGAAATTTGATAAATGAAACATGTAGCTAATCGGTAATCTATTTTTTTTTATGAGTAATTAATTTTGAACATAAACCGAGGGTTTAATTCTGGTGATTTATACAGATGTAATCTTGAACATTTACAAATAAAACACTTAAAACTGAGAATTAAAGAGCTAGAGAAATTAACGATAATTTCAAAAGCCCCAGTACTCAAATAGTATCCCTTGGAATTAGCCATGTCTATAATGATGATCTATTTACACTAATTCTAGTGGAAGACATAAAAGTAAATTTAATTTTCTGAATAAAAAGTAAATATAGGAACCAGTATTAAATTAATCACAGAAAATAAAGAAATTGAATTAATTCAGAACAAATTATTTGATTAAACGTTCATGTTCAGTGTAATTCATAAATTAGGTGTTTTTTCCTTCTATAAATATTATTTCAAATTATGTCTATGCGTGTACTGTTCATAGATTACCCTCGCATACAAATAAAGATTCCTGGTATACTACACAGAATCAATTTCAACTGCCTTATATAGGTCTATAATTTATTGGAAATCTCATTTCTGAGTAAGCTCTGCCCATTTAATTAATAAACCCCGCCCACTGGGACTGACGTGGGACTGCTTTGGCAGTCAAAAAAAAAAAAAAAAAAAAAAAAAGAAAAACAGTCCCCTGGACTGCTCTGGCATTGCTGGGTTTGGTGGGTACTGTACTTTTTCATAAATATGGTTTTAGGCCCCAAGATGCATAAATTTACAAGATTTGATAATTTTAAACCTCTCAGTGGTGTCTGAAATAATGAAATGAAATGTTTTATAAAGATTAGCCATAAAATTAAATAAGAACAGTCTAAAAGGGACAAATACTCCCGCTGGTTTTTTTCAGAGAAGTTGTCAAATTATGAATATTTTATGGATTTAAGAGAAGAGAGACATGGTGAAAGATTTTTTAGTACACATATGATTACTCAATATATTCCTTTATGAATGAAACAAAGGTGTAGTCTAATAAAAGATAAACTTAAGATACAGGCCACACAAATTCTGTCAGTGAACTTGAACTTGCATTAATAACCTTGGTTCAGAGTCATGACACACCCTCCGGTCATAAGCAATCTTTGTGAAAAATGGGAACTCAACAGATCTATTTATAAGAA